CTCAGATACAAGGAGACACAGGACCTTTCTGCAGCTTTTTCACCATTGACAGCAAGTCCTCAGTCTTCAAAGATTTGGTCTGCCCTGTGGAGATGAAAACCAGAATTACAGGATCCAGTGAGAATGAGGGGACTGCGGAAAGGCCTATCTGGGAAGGGAGGAAGGAAGCCCCAGTGGGTTCTACAGACACCCCTGGGCTGGGACCCAGGCCAGGCTGAGGGCGAGGCTTCCAGCAAGAGGAGGGCCTCGGCAGGACCCGGCCCCTTGTGCCTGAGGTTCATGGTGTGTGCTGGATGGATCGGGGACCCTTATGGTCAGCTTCTCCCTGAGGTCAAAGGACACCACAGATCCCTTATTATAAGCGGTTCTCAACCTGTGGGTCGCGAACAATGAAAATACATCCTGCATATCAAATATTTACATTACAATTCATAACAGTAGCAAAATTACAGTTATGAAGTAGCAACGAAAATAATTTTATGGTTGGGGGCTCCACCCCCTGTAGGGGGCATACTGTAGGCTGTGAAGGTATTTCATTGGTAATCATTGGAAGTGTTTTTGAACCCAGTCTTTCTATGACTCACTCAATGATTTTTCCAGGAATCGACCAAAGTCTTCTTGTTTACTGTCTCCTAAGCTTAGGCTTTTATATATATAGACTAGAGGCCCAGTGCATGAAAATTCGTGCACTCGGGGGGGAGGGGGAGGGGAGGGTCTCTGAGTTCAGCCTGCGCCCTCTCAGGGGATGCCCACCTGCCACCTTAGGCCCACGGGGAGCGGGCCTAAGCCACAGTCAGACATCCTTAGCGCTGCTGCTGCGGAGGCGGGAGAGGCTCCCTCCACTGCTGCTGCACTGGCCAGCCATGAGCCGGCTTCTGGCTGAGTGGCACTCCCCCTGTAGAAGTGCACTGACCACCAGGGGGCAGTTCCTGCGTTGAGCGTCTGCCCCCTGGTGGTCAGTGTGCATCATAGCAACTGGTCATTCCTGGTAGTTCTAGGGTCAATTTGCATATTACCCTTTTATTATATAGGATTGCATTCACCATGCCAAGTCAGTCTCCTTCCATCACCATTTATCCCCCCTTTACCCTCTTCTACTTCCTCCCACCCCCTTTCCCTCTGGTAATCACCATACTGTTGTCTGTCTATGAATTTTTTATTTTTTTTGCTTATTTCCTTCACTGACAGCTGTCAATCTGTTCCCTGTAGCTATGAGTCTCTTTCTATTTTGTTAGTTCATTTTGTCCATTAGATTCCACATATGAGTGAAATCATATCTTACTTGTCTTTCTCTGACTGGTTTATATCACTTAGACAAATATTCTTCAGGTCCATATATGCTGTCCCAAAATGTAAGATTTCCTTCTTTTTAATAGCCTTATATGCCTAATTTTTGTCTTTTTGTCCCAGATTTCATTAATTTAACATGTGTTAAGAACTTGAACTCTAGATGTTTCAAAAAGCTTTTCTTCTGTTGCATTTTTTTTTATTCAGGTAAATTCACATAGTATAAAAGTAGCCATTTTAAAGTGTACAGTATAATGGCATTGAACACATTCTCAGTGTTGTGCAACCATCAACTCTGTCTACTTCCAAAACAAAAGGCATTTATGATTATTTCTAACTTATAGAACTGTACTATATATTGAGTACCATACATGTGGTTGCAATATCCTATATAATAAAAGGCTAATAGGCAAATCGAACAGGGGAACAACTGGTCGCTATGATGCACACTGACCAACAGGGGCCAGACACTCAATGCAAGAGCTGCCCGCTGGTGATCAGTGCAGTCCCACAGGGGGAGCGCCACTCAGCCAGAAGTCAGGCTCATGGCTGGCAAGCACAGCAGCGGTGGCAGGAGCTTCTCCTGCCTCCGCGGCAGTGCTAAGGATGTC